TAGTGTATGTTTGGTGCGGTAGGGGGCCCAACCTCATATTCTTTCATAGGGCCCAAAATTGCTAGCGGCGCCCCTGCACACAGCACACTAAAAACGGTGGATTCTAACAATACACTTTTGAGACACACAGACCTAAGGCTTATGTTGACATAATATATAAATAAACTCATGAATATTTCACCAAATCTTGTGGTGGCCACACCCACTGTACCACAAATAAATAAACAAACAAATCCCTGAGGCCACACCTAATATAAACATATAGAAGCCCCCCTTTGAGTTGACAGCGAATTACGTGCTCGGATTCAGATCTCTGCAGAATAGCAGAAGTTCTATTCCTGTTATAGGCTATACCATCCCTCAGTCTCTCTCTCTCTCTCTCTCTCTCTCTCTCTCATTCAACTCCCCACAGCACACTAAAAACACACACAGTCGATGTACAATTGCCTGACAACACCCTGAGTCACACAGACCTACAGCTTATGTAGAAGGACTGGTGGGTGGAGAGAGGCTGGAAGTTCTGAAGAATTTAATCATTTATTGACATTTCCCAGATGTATGTGACACTTCTGTAATTGCCATTTTTACAGAACATGTACAGAAGACTGATGTGATCTACACTGAAGACAAAGGTAATTATGTTTTTTCTTATTTTCATTTTCACAAACACATAAACAGCCGTTATAAAACAGTTGAGTTTTTATAATGAAAAAATGTAGTACATTAAAATCAAGTGTAGATTATAAATTAATAGCAATTTCAGTGTGATTTAGAATACAGAAAAACATCACTACAATAATGTATTGGTTACTGAAGTTTGTCAATCTGAAAAGCTCCTTTATATTATTAAAACCAATCTAAGATCTGAGATCCATGCAGTGAATTATCTACAATATTTCCGTTGCAATATACAATATTCCTTTACAACGTTATTAATTGTTTTAAGGTTTTGGATTGTGTGAATCTGCACTTTACCAACTGAGAATGATTCAATTAATAATGGTCTATTTTCTAATTCTGTTTGTGAAAATATTGTACATTATTAAAATCCTAAATACTAAACTATTAAAATAAATGAATTCCAAAACTGAGAAGGTCAGCTGAGTAGGACGCATTAGGTCGCATCGCATAAGCCAGTGCTAATAAAAGAATGATGCAGGAAGTCAGTTAATCATGTGTAAAGCTTGGTCTCTTGCAGGATGAGTGTTGTGTGCATGATAGAGCTAGAGAGACATTGCTTATGCCATAGAGATAAATCTGAAATATTACAAATGAAAACGACTGTATTCATTACCACATAGGGATTCGTTTTCTGTCATTACGAAATAGCTTTTGAAAGCATATTAAAATAGCAAAATAGTTATTGAAAGCATGTTTTGGAAGCATATTAAAACTAGGTTAACATTCTCCACCCAGGAAACACAGCTGATTGGAAAATAAGAAACTTCAAGCATGTGCCTGAACAGTTCTGAAAAGAAGAAGTAGCAGGAGTTTCGTAGAAGTTAGTGCGTTAGATATGTTATTTATCATAATGAGGAACAAAATATGCTAATCTAATAGTGATATATCATAGAATCTAAACATTTTCTATATGTTTCATTTCACAGATGGAGTTTTTACGTCAGTATTTCTGGACAGCATTACTGCTGGCCATCATTCTGGTCTCTCTGGTGATAGTAATGATTTTCATAATCATCAATGTTTGCATCAGTAAAAGAGGTAAAATATGTCTGTTGAACAGGAGTTAATTATCACACTTTTACTGCAGTAAATATAAATAATACTTCCACTGTTATTGGCTAGGAAATGGTAGTTCATTTAGATCAGTTTAGTTAATTTAACACCCATTTAACTTAAAAAAAGAAGGAATTCACAAAAAATTAGTATAATATAATAGGGTTTTGAACTAAATGATTTGAAACTCAAATACAGCTGCAGAAAACAACCGTCTGTGTCATTTCACATAACCAGAGGCGGACAGTAGTGAAGTATTTTTACTCTGTTGTAAAAGTACTTTTCCGGTGTCTGTAATTTATCAGAGTGTTTTTCTTTAGAAAACTTACTTCACAACATTCCAAAGCATAATATTGTACTTTTTACTGCACTACGTTTCATATTAAATATCATTTAATACTTAATTACTTTAGACATCTATTACTATCTTACTTTTACTCAAGTAAAATTAATTCAAAGATTTACTTGAGTACAAAATGTACTACATTTTTAATGTTCTTAAGTATTAAAGGTAAAACAAACAACAACTTTTATTTATGAAATGAAGTGCAGTAAAAAGTATGACATTATGCTTTTTAATTTCAATCATTCAATCTTTGCTTCCTCTTTTTCTAGCTGCTTGGTACAGTACACAAGCAAAACCAAATCATTACGGTGACACAAATTTAAAAAAACAGTAAGTCTGTCAAGCTTATATAAGACTAGATGCTTATACACAAAAATGTGTTTACAATAAATTACTTTTTTTCATTACAGGAACAACCAAGTTCATCATAAAGAGCGTGAGATAGAGAAACCACCTTTACCTCCCAGAGATCAGTTCAAATCCATGGAATCTGGTCAGTTTTGTTTTTATATATTCTCATAGATGTGCTCATTTACCTCGCTCTACAGAGCCGCAATGACATACCCCCTTCCTTTCAGTTTCTTTTAGAAGCAAAAATATTAATAAAGAACATAAATAAAAAGCGTTTCTTGAACTCAAGGTCATCTATATGCTGCTTACTCCTTAACTTTGACAAAATTATCTTTAAACAGCTATAAATAGGCCTATTTAAAATTAGTGCTGTCAAACTCGTGATTAATCGCATCCGAAATAAAAGTTTTTGTTTACATAATATATGTGTGTGTACGGTGTATATTTATTACGTATATATATATATATATATATGCACACACATACATGCATATATTTCCGAAAAAATATGAATATAAATATATACATGTAAATATTTTCAATATATATACTGTATGTGTGTGTATTTATTTTTATCCAAAGCGACTTACAAATGAGGACAACAGAAGCAATCAATTGTAGTATTAAAACAACTAAAAACAGATCCAAAACTAAAAGCTCAAACTTTATAAATATGACCTATACACATTTTTTAAAATAAAGAGATTAAATAAAAGTGACAAATGCATACAACAAAATTTCAAAACTTAACATTGAAATGAAAAACAAAAAATAAAGCTCAAAACAATTCAAAATATTAAAGAGCAAAAGGTATGAGTATAATAATGATTCTAACATAACACTAAGCCAAACACCAAAGAAACTACATATGTGTATGTACAACCACACACACATACATATATACTGTATATGTACATACACATTTATAAATTCAATATATACTGTATATTATTTCATTTCCATTTAGTTTGTTGAAGTATTAAAATATCTCTAAAACTAAATGAAATAAAACTAAAAACTTAAAAGGCCTATACAGACATAATAAATTCAGACATAATTGAACTAAAATTAAAATAAATAACAAATACAAATAATACAAATCAAACGACAGTAGTTTATCAGTAATCCTAAAAAATAACACTGCCAAACTTACATGCTAAAAAACAACAACTTACACATAGTAAGAAATGGTTATAAAAATTGAAACAGAAGTGAAACAAATAATAGGAAAGAGGAGAAATAAAAAGCGATACTTACCCTTTGCCGGATAATATATATTATATATACATAATAAATATACACAGTACACACACAAATATTATGTAAACAAAAACTTTTATTTTAGATGCGATTTTGACGCCACTATTTATAATTGTCCGTTTCTCCAGGAAAACTGATCAAAATATTGATGGCTCAAGTTGCACTCAATTGCTTGTCAGGGTAGTGCCATATTTCATTTTTTAAAGGAATAAAAATGAGGCAGCGAGGGACAGAACTGCAGTACATTTACTCCTATTATTTAAACATCTTTCTAACAGCGAGTTGTGAGTTGACCAAAATGACATGATCTAGGACTATAGAGTGTTAAGTCTATCCCGCACGTTTCGTCTCGTTTTCATTCGTGTTAAAGGGATCACCCAAAAATAAAAACTTGTCGGCATTTACTCATATTGTTTCAAACATTTGTGAGTTAATCGTAGCCGTTGACTTCCATGGGATTTTTCCAATAAGAGCTCAGAATAAGAGAAATGTAACCAGTTTAATTTCTTATCTGAATTTCCAGTGGATCAGGGTTATGAGGATTTGGAGCCTGGGTCAGACTATGTGGAGGTTGAGGATGAGTCGAACCTTCCTGCCCCGCAGCAACCCACCTTCACTCCACACTACACCACCGTCGAGACTAAAAGTCAAGACCAAGACGCTGTTTCTGAGGATTATGACGACGTTGAAATCCCTGTTAACTATGACAGCGAGGACTATGATGACGTAGGGTAAAAGACACAAAATCAATGACTTTCCCTTCAGCTGGACACAGGAGCGGACCCTGAAATCAACTGCAAGTTTCCTTCAAGCTACTATTGTACATTATTTGAGCAAAAACAAGTTCTAATAGCATATAAACTACAGGTGTGTTTACTTTCACTTCCCATTGTTAGAAATGTAATACAGCTTTCAAAAACGTCATTTGATTTGTCATTTTCTGTTGAGGCACTCTACTGTATGAGACATTTGCACGGAAGTGGGCCTATTCAATAGTTCAAAAGTTAAATTTTTCAAATATTCAAAAGTTCAATAGGCCTATGGATTATATAGTAAGCCTTTTAATGATCTGCACTGACACATTTCATGTCTGATACTACGGTGTACTTATTTTATTATTCCAGTGAATCAAAATGATTTTTGTTAAAGGAAAAACAACACACAAACAGGCAGTACTCTTAAACTGATTCCATACATTTATTCTTAAAAAACAAAACAAAAAAGAAACAAGTGAAATGGTGACCATCAATAGATATTTGTCTTTCACAGCTGCTCGATTTGTAATCGCTGTTGTTCAGGGCAGCAACAGCAACATATCAAAAGTCAGTTCTTTTTTTTAAACCCATGCCCACAGTCACAGGAGCGTTATGGGCCTTGCAGACATTTCGAGGCGTATGATTTCCGTGCACACAAACTACAAGTCTCCCTCTTGCTCGGTGGAGCTCCTGTTCCTTTGTACACAAGAGAAACAAGTCGAGAAAAAGAAGATTTTCTTTCTCTTGCTGTCAGAGATGTCCATTAAGTGGCAGGCACAGGGGGCTGAGACTAGCCTCCTAGTCTCTGACCCTCACCCCAGGCAAAGCCTCCTGGACGGTCCTCAGGGAGAGGGTTGTAGTTGGCATCTTCCTCAGGTGTATCAAACAGCATCTTACTGGAGAAGTAGAAAAAAAGGGTGTTTTACTTCAAAGCAAAGACTACAATATTATCTAGAAGTTTTTATATAATGGTTACTGATGGTGTGGCAAAACTTTGGGGTTGTTTTTTTTATGTTTTGAAATAAGTCTATATATAAATAAAATAAAATAAAAAAAATATATAAAATAAAACAGTGGAAATATTACTACAATTTAAAATAAATGTTACTAATTTAATATATTTTAGCATGCTATTTAATCCTGATTTTTGAAGAATCACATGATACTTCAGAAATCATTCTAATATGCTGATTTGGTGCTCAAGAAATGTATTATTATCTTAAACAGTTCTGCTGCTTAATATTTCTGTAGAAACAGTGATTCATTTTTAATACATTAAAGGGGTCATATGATGCTTTTTTAAAGAGAAACGGTCGTCCATAAAATGCATTGCTGTTCTGTTGTAAGTAATCTTAAAGATTCCTAAATCAATCTACTTTCGGAAGGCCAAATAAAGTGCTTTTGCTTTCGCCTAGAAACACACAGCATCTCCCTGACATGGCTGCTTCAACACTAACTGCGGTTACTGAAACCACGCCTTCTTTCTTTGTGTGAACATTTGGGCGGCATTACGCAAATATTTCCACATAGTGATGTAGATATGTGGGGCGTGTTAGAACGAGCCGTTTTAGGGGGGCGTGGCAGAGTCTTAACTTTGATAAAGAATATCTCTTTGGTTTTGAGACTTTAGTCTTTGCAACTTCAGGGATCTTATCTATGCACTGATATCTTATCAGCTTGTAACACTCCAAAGAGAAAGGAAAACTTGAAATCGCATCATATGACCCCTTTAAAAAAAAAAAACTTCTTTAATGAAAGTAGTTCATTAAAAAAAATGATCATAATAATTACAGATCCCACACTTTTGAATGGTAGTGTATACACCATTTGCCTTGAATACATATAAGCCCTTGACATTGTGAAGACATGAGACATTAGCACTCACAGGATGGAGGGAGTCCTCAGCCATCTGCCTCCACCTGGTTGGTTGGGAAACACATCCTCCAAAAAGTAGTACACATGTCCCACTGCGATGCCTTTAATGGAAAGACAGAACATATAATACCAACAACAGATTCATTCATTAGTATTTAAAAATTCATATTAAAATGACAAATAATAATGAACAAAATTGGACTAATTTATTGTCAATGCAAGTATCAGCACAAGACAAGTTAATACATCTGTGAATCCACACAAGTCTCCACCTAAAAGATCTACAATGATGGAGTTTCCCAGCAGCAGAGAGAATCCCATGAGCACCCACGGGAGGAAGGGGGCCTGGAAATTCAAAAGGCCGAAGAAATTCATGCGCACGTTTGGGTTCCTCCTGCTCCATATGTACACAAGCATGATGGTGAAAGCCTGACCTAAGAACACAAGACTCACAAACATGCCAAATATCTGCACAGCCATTAAGAAAATCACAGCCGGTATTTGAGCAAATGTAAGATGTAATGCATGTTATACATCTTGAAATCTTAACGTGCTTATATGTTATATTGTTTTGTTTTTTTAGCAAATTGGATATTTTTTACTGTTTTTACTACAAGACGTCTCACATGATTTTATTAAATATAGAATGAGGTCAAACATCTTTCATTATTCAGCTTCTATATTTGTCTACATCTTGAGGTTAGAGTGAGAGGTGACTCATTTTCCTCTTCTTTTCTTTCCACGGTACCACAAAACTATTATTTCATTCTGTGAACTTCTCAATAGACAGGATGATGATCTAAAGCATATTAGGCAATTATATGTTAATAGAAACATGCCTTTAAGTTGGAACATTGCCTTCAATGCAATATGTATGATCAACATTTATTTTTTATACTGTATTTTTATTTCAAAGTTCGTCCTTTTATTTATACTTTTTTCTTTCCCTATTCATGTAATCCATTTTTTTTTTTTTACATGATCTTTTTTGGACTTTTTCATTTTTTTGTAGTCTTTTAATTAACTTAATATCTTAAATGATAAGAAACTTGTCTGTTTATTTATTATGCTTATGTAGGTAGGTAGTTTAGATTTTAATGCCATGTCAGCAGCTGAGGCTATTCTCATGTAAGGATTGTATAAAAAAAAATAATAATAAAATAATAATAATAATAATATACATACATATTCACATATACACACACACACATATATACACATATATATATATATATATACACACACACACACACACTACCAGTCAAAAGTTTTTGAGTAGTAAGATTTTTAATGCTTTAATTTCTCCTTTGCTCACCAAGCGTGCATTTATTTCATCCAAAGTACAGCAAAAACAGTAAAATTTTGATATATTTTTACTATTTAAAATAACTGTTTTCTATTTAAATATATTTTAAAATGTAATTTATTCCTGTAATTT